AAGGGACTTAGTCCCACCCCACTAGCAATAATAATAAAAAAAATAGTACTCCTAGGAGTGTCAGTTTTAATTCCTGCAGTACGAAGCCTCAGTTCTGCCTTTCCAAATTTACTCTTCTTCTATGGCATGGAACCGGGATAGCACGGTCGGTATAGTCACAGGCTACGGGCTGGACGGCTGAGAGTTCGGAGTTTGAGTCCCCTTCAGGATCAAGAATTTTCTGTTCTTCACGTCGTCCAGACCGTCTCTGGGGCCCACCCAGCCTCCTATCCAATTCGTATCGTTGGCATTTTTCTTGGGGGTAAAGAGGCCGGGGCTTGAAACTGACGACTCACCTCTAACTAGTGCCTAGGTCAAGAAAATGTGGACCTATACATCCACTCCCCCATGCACCTTCATATCTTAATTAGTTAAGCACGGGACAACTTTACTTTTACTCATCTTCCATGGACAAATAATATTATAAAATTTCCGTGCGAACTACACGTGCGGGGAAATTTCCCTCCAGATATTCATTGAGTAAGTAGTTCAGGCAAAGTACCAACAGATGTCACATGCCGCCAGATATACCAGTTCTTAAGATATTTAATATATTTTCGACAATTCACTTTTACAGGACCAAGGACGGGCTTATGTTGAACCGATGAGGAACACTAATCTATATAGATTCTAACATAATTACTCTATATCTTTGAACGATTTCTGAAGTAGGAAAAGACTGATCCATAGTTCTTGATTCTTATTACCTTTGAGACATTTATCTTTCTGCCGACTTTGTATGTAGTTGACTTTGCAGCGACACACCTCGGCGCACCTGGAGTTCTCAGTGATGCATTCCTGGTCAGAGTGGCAGGGTTCATCTAGGTCTGGGTACAGCATAATATTCTGTTAACTCACGTCCAACCATATGTGTAATAGCAATGTCATCAGTCTACAGGCTAATTAAACCGAAGCTAATGTGGGCTGCACCTGATTTTCTCTTACACAGCTCTAAGCACAATAACTCATAATGTAAATACATATTTTTTCCGCCCCCCTGGCACTACAGCCCCCGTGGGCCTAGGTCTACCTCCATGAACTTCTCCGTTCACTTCGGTTTTTCTAGATCTTACACATTCGGTAGGACTCCTTGGGCGGGTGATCAGCTCGTCGCAAGGCCTCTACCTGTACACAAACACAGAAAAACTCACACAAACATCCATGCCCTGAGTGGGATTCGAACCCACGATCCCGATTTCCAAGCGAGCGAAGATAGTGCATGCCTTAGACCGCTCGGCTACCGTGACCGGCAAATACATATATTAGGGTCACAAAAAGAACATTTATATATATTTCATATTTTAACGTGCTTCTAGTTTTAAGTTTTTTATGCGATTAAAGTACTTTCTCTCATTTAGGCTCTATGATGGAAGAAAAATATCTATAGAGATACATTGCACGTGCTTTATTATACACAACTGACCTCGAGTAGTTTACAATGGAAACTAAGTAAATTGTCCTGTAGATCATTTTTGGCTACTGGAGGCCGAACAAAAACGAATTCCGTCCTGCAATCTCGTTCATTGTCCCTACAAGGGTCTCATTCGGCACCAATAAAGTCGTGCTCATGTAAATCGGGATTTGTCCACGTAAATATAAATTTATCTTTATTTTTTACATTCATATATATCGAAAGGAAGTGTCGGGGAAGCAATTGCCACGTCTCCACAACGGCTCTTAACAAATAAACACACATCTTGACTTATTGATCTGAGTCATTATTACTTTGGTAAGGAATATGACGTGTAGGGCTGACTGTTCGGTTNGACTGGGGGAGAAGGAGAATGGATATAGGATATTGGTGGGAAAGCCAGAAGGAAAGAAACCACTGTGAAGACCAAGGCGTAGATGGGTGGGCAACATTAAAATGGATCTTAGAGAGACAGAATGGGATGGCATGGATTGGATTTGTCTGGCTCAGGATAGGGACCAGTGGAGGGCTCTTGTGAACACGGCAATGAACCTTCGGGTTACAGAAAATGCTGAGAAATTCTCGAGTAGTTGCAGATTTTGCGGCTCTCCAAGAATGGCTCAGCTCCATACGTAAGTAAGTAAACAAGTATTTTATTTTACCGTAATATTTTTGGGCAATGTCATTTCAAAATATTTCTGTTCTTGGTATGGAAGAACAACAGAAACCGCAACAACTGTACGTAAATTTGACTGTGAAAGTATGAGAATAATCAATCGTTGAAAATGTTTCTTTAAAATGTGGCTATTTCTCCGCCTGCTTTTCCTAACTCCGAAGATCATGATACTGTATAAACTAATAATTATTTGAGCTCTTTTGAATGTGTTTGAAAGTTTATCGCTACATATTGTCACGTGTATGGGATGCGTGACTTATTAGACGGGGGTTTGAACGATGTCCGAATTTATTGACACCTTATGCACACCACTCAGAACTACAATTAATTACAGCACTGTCGCTGATCGACACACTTTACAGTTCACCGTAACACACGGACTAGGTTCCTCAGTCTTCACTAGTCGTATCCTGGCAATGGATTATTACGAGTTTCACTGTCACTGCAACATACGTATTCTTTTTACAGACCTAATTCTTTTGTTTCCATCTCTTCTGAATCATCTTCGACTGCCGATTCCAGAGACTCCCTCAGTTCTAATCCTTGCTGCCCGAGATCCTCGTTATGTAGCCTCGGGTCGGCCCCAACACTAAATTCCGTTTTTTAATAATCCCTTTAACTTTATAAACGTGTGTTTTCCTCGTCGTTGCATAGAAAAGGCAGTTCTTCGAGTGTTGCTTGCGTATTCATTGCAACGGGAATGTTTTTACCGATCCATTGCCTAGCAATGGACGTCTGATCTAGTTCCACTCTTCTGGCTTTCAGACGTCATGTCACAATATAATTAGGTTACTAATTTATATCTTTTGCTGTCTTTATGACGTCGACTTTTGAAGGAAGCAGGCCTTATAAATTTCTCCCAGAAATTCTTGGTACTGATTCGTTACTTACATGATGTCTCGTAGCAACTGCCATCTTTGAAGTGTGCACCAGCCTTGCAGTTGCACGTCCCGAGAAGCCCTTCTCTGGTAACGCATTCAGCATAGTTCCCAAAAGGTTTCGTGCACTGAATATCCGCTTCGCAGGCATCTCCAAGTCTGGATGCTTCTGTGACATCGAAAAAATTGGAGCGAAAATTATAAACGGTCATCATATTGTAAGAAGCTGTCGTTACCGTCTTTCGGAAACAGCAATTTATCCAGAACTCCCAAAACAGAAATTAATATGTTATGCCGCCAAACGTGTCAATAAACAATCATTATATTGGAAGGAGTTTGACAGTTGAAGAAAGCAGTCTTCTGGGATTTGGCACCGTGTATATGTGGTGTTAACCGACGTTTCGGAGGAACGTATCGCCTCCATCTTCAGGGTAGAAGAAAAAATATAAGAAATCTGCAAGCGAAGAGACCGTGAGAAACGGTNTCAGCATAGTTCCCAAAAGGTTTCGTGCACTGAATGTCCGCTTCGCAGGCATCTCCAAGTCTGGATGCTTCTGTGACATCGGAAAAATTGGAGGGAAAATTATAAACGGTCATCATATTGTAAGCAGCTGTCGTTACCGTCTTTCGGAAACAGCAATTTATCCAGAACTCCCGAAAGAGAAATTAAAATGTTATGCCGCCAAACGTGTCATTATATTGGAAAGAGTTCGACAGTTATTTTAAATCCAGTTGCTTTCTGTCCGTATGTGAATCTGTGTATGTTTGTATGTTTCCGTGAAATGAGAAAAGTTACCAGTTTTTTGGAAGTTAGAACAATTCAATCAGAAAGAATTTACATTACATATATTTTTTCTTATTAATAATATTTGTGCTGATTTTAGAAACTTGTTACTTTTCTTGAATATTATTGTCTCCTAGGATGTCACAGTCTCTACTTTGGTATATAATTGAAAACAATTATCTTCGTAATCATTGACGCAAGAGCCTGTAATTTCGGATATGGATGTTTTAATTTGGTGCCGATAAGGTAGGTCACAATTAAATTCAGATGCGAAAATATGGTGTGAGGCTTATGTTTGCACTGGTCACTTATATCCAAAGGTATTCGATGCAGAATTAGGAATATAGTCGGAATTAGAGATCTAGTTTATAGCATTAAAATTAAGGCAGTAGGTATCTTGATAAAAATTGAATATTTATTTTTTCTGAATACCATTGACGTTTCTGAAGCTGAAAATTTGAATAGGAGGTAATAATATTAACTGCAAAACTATTTACACGGCAATTTAAACAATAAAAGTAAGTAAGTAAAAACAAAGCTATCCCTGTAACTGGCCGTGAAGGCCCATAGGGTTGTGAGATGTTGAGGGGCCCCACATTATGTAGACAATCGGCTCAAAGATGGCGGTAAGGTTGTCAGCCGTATGCGCCAGCCGAGCTTTACTCCCCAGGAAAATTATTCAGTTAATTCCTGGTAATCATTTCTGTTAGAGATTGAGTCAACCCCAGGGCCATAGTGCGGCTGGAAGGATTAGGTCAATTGAAAAAAATCCAATAACCTCATCGGGACTTGAACCCACAACCTTGCGGCTTGTAGTATAGCCCCTCAACCAACTACGCTACCGCGTGCCCCTTCTCTGTTCTGATACTGTTCCAAAAATCTATGGAAAGGGGTTAGATACCTGGCTTGCTCCCCCCCATTCCCGCTGACCCCAAAATTGGCATTTCTTCCATTCTTACAGCGGTCAAGTAGCAAACAGCACGTCGTTGACTACTGGGATTATACTTATACAAATGTCGCAATAAAATTGCAAGTTCATTACTTCAGCAGCATTTTGGTTTAAGGATATCCTGGGTGAAGACTGGGAACTTTCCCTGGGTAACAAATTAATCAAACTTCCTGTGATTACTTATCACCCGGTGGGGCTATCATTTGTCACAGACGGGGATTAAGGATACTGAATAAGTGGAAGAAGAAGAAGAAGAAGGCTGAAGCTCACTACTTACCTTCCAGGCACGAGAAGCCGGTTTCATTATCATAGATGATGAAATCCTTTTTACATTGACAATACTGTTGCTCCTTGCAGTATGCGTTTGCAATGCAGTCTGAGTCATAATTACACGGTTTAACAGCACCTGAAAGCAAACGGCTTAATTGCACGTGGGTGCAGCAATTGATGACATAATTACTAATCTCGAAGAGTTCCATGTTCTGAGAGAGTTCTGAGTTGAAGAAACCAGCAAGAAGTAAGTAGCAAACAATGACTCTGGTTCCTTTCTTCGCCTATGCTTACTGTGCTTGGAGGCGACATGTTACTCCGAAACATCGGTTGACTTTCAACGGGCTGCATGACTTTATATCCCATAAGATAAAACTCTTCATAACCATTGCCGTGATAACCTCAAATACTTCATTACTAATCTGACGTCTCATCGTAAGGCAAGAACAGTGTTTGAGGGCGTTTGAGAAAGAAATGATGAAGAGACCGAAAGAATGAAACAGGAAGTTACAGAAGAATGAAAAATGAGACTTTCATAAGTTTTTATCTTCACCAAATACGCCAAGTTATGTCATGACGTCAGCATCATGACTCAGACCGATGTACGACTGTTGTCATAATCTCATTCGTTCCGACTGTTCTACTTTCTTTGCGTCATGTCGCAGACATCGTGCCTTGACTGTTACATGTCTTGACGCATGCCGGTATGCAGCCTACCTAAGACAACCGTCTTCGTCCGCTCAAATACTGGGATCGTGGGTTCGAATCACACTCAAAGACATGGATGTCTGTGTTTGTGTTGTCCTGTGTGAAGGTAGCTGCCTTGAGTCTCGCTGATCCCTCGTCCAAGGAGTCCTACCGTCTGTGTAAAAATTATTACTAAACTGAAGAAGAGGCCAAAGCCCAAGGAAGGACTGTAAGAGTCATTGATGAATGTATATCAGTTCTCCGTTATTTCGTTTAACGTCTCGTACTGCTTGTTGTCCTATGCCAAACTGTGCAACAAATAAGCTGCTAGTACTATAGCCTCTGATTCTACCGACTGTCTAAAATTAAGAAACTGAAGTGAAACGAAACTTTTTATTGATGTCCTACGCTCCAGAGGGACCAAGAGAGACGGGTGGATGAATAGACTATAGCATCTCCTATCTGCATATCGATAGGCTCTTCCCAATACTATCCAGAACTTAATTCCTCGTGTATTTCCCATACATTTAATTATTTTCACACTTAAAACACCTGTAGTCTTATAGATACGCTTTAATGTATGAAGGTCTTATAGCTCATTCAAAACAAACAAAAACTGTGTGGCTTTAGTCCGCTAGCGAACTATACCGACCGAGCTACCGCCGCTTGTCGGCGAAGTTAGTGCCAACTTTAGCTGATAGAAGGTGTCGCGTGCCCAGCGCAACGAATCCCCCCTGCCGTTAATTTCGATTTTATAGACCGGAGCCGCTACTTTTCCATTCAAGTAGTCGTCAGTTATCTGTCGTTACAGACGTAAAGTTTAACTGTAAGGTAATTATACTCGTACTTACGTTTATACTCGTCTTCTGATGCAGCCTGTCTGAACAGTAAGCCAGTGATGATTAACTTTGTAGCCAATTTAAATATCTGAATGTCCATAACAGCCACCCACGTCAATACGTCTATGATAATTAAAATTTAACTTTATTGAGCGCAACTTAACAGCTTTATCTGTGTGAGTCAGTGGTGTGGGCTTGGCAGTGACTAACAAGCCCCACAGAGAGAGATAAGCGACATATTCGTTCAGAGATAATCTTATCTCTCGGGTACAGAGACAAAGAGAATATCCTCAGAGATGTATGAATGCTGAGGTTTCTACGATTGGTGAAGATTAATATAGGGTTACGGTACTGTTGTAGCCGGGTAGGTGGGTACGAACATTTTGAAGGAAGAGACTACCTCCATCGTCACGGTATGGACACGCATGTTCAGTTTCACGTAACGACTGTCAGTCTCTCCGTCTTAACATCGATTCTGTAATCTTGAGATTTATATACGTCGAGAGGCGAGAGGATTGTCTGTAAAGCTTCAAATTCATAATGAGATGTCAATGTCCTCGGCATGTACATTATAATATGTCTGTTAGCTTACGCTGAAAGGCAGTGTGGTTATTTGAAGGATCGTAAGCTTGACCACGGCCAGGTTTATGCCTAGTATTTCCTGTGTCGCCCTTCAGCTTGACCTTTTTTTTTCCCGAACATTTGCATTTTTGTGTTTTTGTATAACTTCTGTTTGTTACTTGCGTAATTTTGCACTATAATCATACATGTAGGCGAATTGTATATCGGCTTGGTTAGCAGGAAATTTAGAATTATGCGAAGAACTTGATTTGCGGACGCTGCAGCACCAAAAGTTTAGTATCTGCCGAAAATTCCCAGGAAGAAAGAGGCACAAATAATTGCGGAACCAATGAGCTCTTTAATTTGCCTTGAAATTACTCACATCTGTAAAGGAAATAGACCTAATAAATGTTCTAAAAAGCTTGACTTCGATCTTTTCTCTACGCGTTTATTGCATAAGTCTCGTTTCGAAACTTACAAATGAAACATTTTACCTTTTTTTTTTTAAAGGAAGGTTATATTCGTTCAGCCTATGTAGGTCCTGGCCACAAGTGCGAGAGCCTCAATCTTATATTCACTGATTTATAAATTCTAATGTTCTAATCATGCCGTCGGTGAGATAAGGCCGTCCTGCAGATTATCTGAGAACGTGGCGCTTTTTACGATCCGTATCAACCATACGAGCGTCATTAATGAAGAAGGCTAGATTGGCGCTTGTGGTTTGTGAGACATTGTATTTATAATACAGGGTGATTCTAAATTATTGTCGGGGTGTCCGTGGCCTTTTATTTTCAAACAGGATATAACAAAGTAAAACTGCTTACGGAATATAAAAGTGTAACTCAGAAAGCTTCGTTACTTATAGAATAAATACCACAGGCTGGTAAATAACTTCAACATGCACGCCTTTCATGGCACGTAAGATATCCGAGCTTCTGGATTCGACCAAAGTCTCCCTGCGAAGTGCTCGGTCTTTCCGCCCCATTTCGGTGCAGAACATTGCCAGTCTCCTGAAATTGTTTTACCCAACGTCGGATAGCATTATCTGAAGGTGGATCTTTTCCATTTTGAGTTCTGTAATGACATTGCATTTTGATAACGTACTTCGTTTCGAAAACCCAAAGAATGTGCATCGACTCCCCACATTTCTTCATGATGGAGTGTTTAATTGGTTAAGCATAGAGACAAATTTACTTTTATTAAGGAACATTATTTTCGTGTATTGTATTTCCCTGAAAGATCAATTTCTGGCAATGACTCGATGAAATGTTAAAAACATTTAAAATTAACCGCTAAGGTGATGCTGGGGCGAATGGAGGAAACTGTTTAGTTAATGTCGGGCAGTTTATACGCAGAGAGTGACAGTTACTTACATATTCTTACCCAAATAT